AGGTAAACAAAAAAAGAACAGTCAGAAGACAAGGGGTAAACAAAAAAAGAACAGTCAGAAGACAAGGGGTAAACAAAAAAAGAACGGTGAGAAGAGACATTACGGCAGTCAACCATCGGTAAAGTGATGGGGGTTCGGCAGACTCAGACTTGGTAGACGAAAGATCTTCATGACAATGACACTACACGGAGCAATCAAAACGAGAAAAGATAATGCGTGCGAGAGGGTGTGGGCAGAGATAAATGCTATAAGAATGAACCGTGCGCAGAACCCCAAACATCATTAGCGCGATCGCGAGGGGGCTGCTAAGGGCGTGAGGGCGCAGGGCGCAAGGGTACAACGTACGTGGGTGTGGGGATGCCGACGACGGCGGCGCAGCATTTCGTGTGAGAGAGTGCAGTGGATGAGAGGATGCTGATGACACAGGGGATGCAGAAAATGGGGTGAAGAAGACGCAAAGACGGAACAGCTTGGGAGCAAGGATAACGACGTAAGAGTGAAGCATAGTAAAAAGACGCTTTTACTCTTTCACAGATCAGATCATCAGCAAGATAAGAAAACCCAGAATATGAGATCTCGACACGATAACAGACCTAACCACACCTCCAAGGGTGTAAAGGCGTTGCAATGCCAACCGGACAATCCGATCTCTCCACGTGACTCAGCAGGTGACGCCAGAAAAGCCGAAAACAAAGATTACTGTGCACAGACGAGTTTCCTCATTCATATTCTGCTGCGGTACCCTTAACTGACCGCTATTTTAACGCAGCTAAATCTTGTTGCCCGAAAGCCCACGTGGGGCAACTGCCTGGCACAAGCGCAAAAAACGGACGCGGTCAAGCCCTGATTCCCCTTCGTGTCCCCCCCCCCCCCAACCTCTTCACAAATCCCTACTCCCGATACCCTAGTCAATATCTGATTGACGAGCGCCCCCCACCCCTCCCCTCCACCTCTCCCCCCTTGCTTTATGAAAAGTTGTCGTTAGAAATACATACATACATCAGGAACTACGGCACATCCTGCATCGGCCTTTCCAAGGGGGGGTGCATTTTTTTAATCCGCTTGACAGCCGCGGAAAACAAAGCCATCCGTGATGAAACGGGATTCGATCTCACCCACGCAGCACAAAGCTCGCCAATACCATCTCTACCCGAGTAGAACGTGCGGTCTTTTCAGCTGAATTTGGGGCAACTTTCAGTCTGATGCACAGCCATAAGGACCGTGCGTTGTAGCGGGTGAAGACGGTAGCAATATGCCAGATCTATAGTAAAAAAAAATCAGGTGTGAGATCCATAAAGACCGTGCGTTATTGAGCGCTCCTAACAAGGGGGAGCGGGGGCAGAATTATGCGGCGAAGCCCATAGCTCCTGCTGCTGCTGGCGAGGTAGCGCTTTAACTTCCAGAAAGAATAATTATTAAGAATTGTCGACATCCGATCTGGATCAAACCATCATCAAATTTTCACACACCTAATCAGCTCTCTGAACACACCATCCATCACCAGCTCGCACAACAAACAAGTCTCGATAAACGACATCATCAGCTTCCAGATGCACCAGAAACTGGGTTATGCAGCCAAATACACATCCGTCCAGTATGATCTGAATTGCAATCAACGGTCAATCCTAATCACCCATTAGATATGTTCTAAACTCCTCCAACGGGGTCTCTTGGAAGGGTATCAATATCCTCATCGCCTGGATGACCCGACTGAATCATCAGAGAGAGACCTCACTGGTTCCCGACTGAATCATCAGAGAAAGACCTCACTGGTTCCGCAGAGTGAAGAGAACCGTTCCGCAACTTCCTTTCCAGACCGCACCGTGTTCTCTCAAAACCAAATTTTTCGTCTTTCCAGACCGTCAAAACTGTTACGATGCTGAGTGTATGACTAGGTAACATGCTTAATAGGGCAGCGGAGAGAGTGCAAAAAACAAAAGCATGCACGGTAAGGCAATCTGTAAGGGGTACCAAGGGGGGCAATCCACAAGAAATACGGCATTGGTCGAGATTCAACTACCAGAGAAAACTATGGGATAATGACCTCTGATTCTCTTCAGCTGGGGTCAGTTGTAACCTTTGATCGTCTATGTCCAGGCTCAATGTCTCGTCATCCGTGCGCGAGATTTTGGAACCCCTTCGCTCAAAACCAGTGCGGCTGCGACATCAGAGGCGACAAAGGACGACACGCATCGACGGGATGCCTATCGTAGTCAACGAGTGCACGACTGGAGCGCACGTTACCCGTCACGAAAAGGGGATTGACACGCTACAGGGAAAAGAAACAAGCATTACGAAAACGGAAAGGGCATTGACACGATACAAGGAAAAGAAACAAGCATCACGAAAAGGGGATTGACACGATACAGGGAAAAGAAACAAGCAGGCTGGGCCGGGGTTTTCAGGGCAGAGCGGCGTATAGCCGCGAGAAAGATGACAATCTGGAGACCCTAAAAGACATGCAACGCAACCATGCTTGCGGACAAAATCGAAGAATGAGCACAGCGGACAATCTGGAGTTCACGTTCCCCGTCACGAAAAGGATTGACACGCCGGACAATCTGGAGTTCACGTTCCCCGTCACGAAAAGGATTGACACGCCACGGGACCAAAAAAAACAAGCAGACTGGGCCGGGGGTTTTGGTGGCAGAGCGACTTATAGCCGAGCGTAAGACGAAAATCTGGAGCGCGCGAAAGGGCAAACGAAGAATGTGCGCAGCGGCGTTTACCCCAACAGCTCGACAAACACACCAGAGCAAGCATGACAGGACACCGTGTACTGAATTCAATCTGCCGGAGAGGTGCAGGTGGCATCACTGGGGAAACGATGGGACACTGCCCGACCGCTTTTGTGCTCTTGTGCGCTATCGGCGGCGTGACATATTTACCTTTGATACATACGTCGCATGGCGCTGATCGCCAAATACATCCGGCTATCAATTGATTGGTTCCTTCTTTTGCCGTATCCGCAGTGAGGCATCGTAATTTAGTAATTAGCTCGTATCGTCGCGCACATGAATATTGTGCTCCTCGTCGCGCTACAATGTCCACAACTGGGTTTCGGTTCTCACAGCCCCATTGACTTCTTTCCAAACCTGTTCTTTCGTCTCAAAAACTGAGTGATGATTACCGATAGCAGGGAAGAAGTACCCTGCATCATCCCTGTCGCAGCTTGAGCGGACAAAAACATACCGGAGAACGGAAAAAATTATAAACGAAGGACAGATCAAAAAAACGAAAACATATCGGAACTAAAATTTCCTTGGCCCAAAAAAAAAAAAAAAAAAAAAAAAAATCCTTGGCCCCGAGGACCCGAACCCCTCAACCCCACCCCATCCATCAATGCGAGAGTAACACGTCGACGATTGTGAGGGTTTCAAGGAGGGTAAATGCGCCTGCCAAGAGTCCAGTGGCGCCTCAACGCCGATGTCCATGTTTCATGTTTCACAGCGTCGAGGGAAGGAAGCAACCTGTCCCCGAAGTCTCTCGAACGCCACAGCCAACGAAAGCTCGCAAGCAGAACCTGAATACGACCGCATAATACAGAAAGACTATAAAAGAGGGGCTTCGAAAAGGCTCAGAGCGAGAGAGAGGCGCAGCCCTTCAATTTCACACGACAAAATCCGCCAGAAGAGGGTACAGAAAAGAGCACAGAAGGCGCAAAGAAGCTTCGCTTCAAGAATCGAACTGTGCGCGAGATAAGAAGTGCCCGCGATATCAGGCACCGCGCCGCGAGATAAGAAATGCCCGCGGCGTCACTATATGGCATATGCGTCACACGCCTCACGCCACGAAAAACGACGAACCAGAGTTGGCGAACGAGCTCTGAGCTCGTCTAGCCCTTGGAACGCAAGATTTAAGAGTAGTAACTTGGCTGCTACCGGCTTTTCCTCTGACCTCAACGCACCCCCATCCTGTCTCCATCGACCGAATGAGATATACCTTGTATACATTCATTCACGATGAGGCTCTTACCGCGCTCTCCCCCCACCACAACGGCCCCTGTTTGTTTGGGAGCACTCTCCCACCACCACAACGGCCCATGTTTAGATTGTGATGACTAGGGGAAATGATAGGCTACGAACGCTCGGGAATACGCAAAGAGTTGGATTGTGATGACCAGGGAATGCTTCCCGGTCTGTCGAAGCAGAGCCGTTCACTCGGCGGGCGTTGCCAAGGCGTTTGCCTTGCCTTGTTGGGCAGACAAACGCGCCGAGAGAAGTAAAATACAGCAGACAAACACCGCAGACACAAAGTTTCGCAAACGAGGAACGGAAGACTCAGAACACACTCGGACTACGACTTTTGTTAATTGATTCTGGGAGTACTTGCGGTCAAATACAGCTCAGAAAATTTGACAATCAGAACGCCCTGAGCCATCGATAAGGCCGCAAACAAACGAGGCGGAAAAGGCTTTTCCGGCTCCCGGCAACTGAACAGAAAGGCGGGCGTGAGCGACAACGGGGTGAATAGTGATTGTCGATGGACTCACCGAAATCTAAACAAGGGGGTAGTATGAAACACGGACATTGGCGCTGACTCTCTCCCCATCTAGCCATAGTTAAGAGTTGCGAATACGGAAGGAGAGGAACACAAAACGGATGAAAAAAACTGTAGGAGAGGAACACAAAACGGATGAAAAGACGTCTACCCGAGTGGATTGCCAAAATGGAAAGGGAACGGAACAACGGGAGTGAGACGAAAGCTTCCCTGAGTTGAAGCGGTGCAGGTGGCAAGTGGAAAGATCAAACAGGAGACCAATACCCTACACTCCTAACACCACCCACCCTCGTTGGAAGTGTGCCGGTGTCCGTCCATCTGTCCCTCCAGAAGTCCATCTAGATTGTTCCATTCGGCTTCTGCGGTAGTGAGTTTGTTATGTGCGTACACCTCAAGTACCACGGTGGAAATAATAAGTAATTTGCTACGAAATCGCGACGAGGGCACTATCGCTCCCGCACAGTTCATATTCATACACTGCTGTCAGGAGAAACAGAACCGACATGCTGCCTACTACATGTATGCGGATAACAAGGCGAAATCAAGCAGGAAGCAAAGAGAAAACAAAACCTTAAGAGAACTAAAGAAACACACAAGCAAAACGAGGAACGAGAAAACAAAACCTTAAGAGAACTAAAGAAACACAGGCAAAACGAGGAACGAGAGACTATGGGCGGGATGCAAAGATCAAGAGCGAAAAAACCTGACCGTAGCGTGAGAACAAGAACGAAGATTACGAGGGATAAGCAGAAATCCAACCTCAACCTGAAGACTCATTACCACAGGGTACTAATTACTAAGTACTGAGTACATAGAAGAAAAAGACAAGTCTCGCCAGAAAATACAAGTGCTACTACGTTCATTAGTAAACATCTGTATTCCTGTCTCTTATACACATCTAGATGTGTATAAGAGACAGACACTGGAGGGAGGAGAAAGGGGGGGAACGGGAGGAAGGGGGGAAAGGGAGTATAATTCACGCCTGCTAAGGTCACGATTCCTTCTCCTCTAATGTACGCCAACTCCCCCGTAACGGAGGTCCTCCGGTCACCGCGAGGGCAATCAAGAAGCAAGCTGCTGTAAGTCACTGGAAGGTCTTCTTTCCCAATATGGAAAGGGAGTGGGCAATCAAGAAGCAGGCTGCTGTAAGTCACTGGAAGGTCTTCTTTCCCAATATGGAAAGGCCATTTGATCTCCCGATTGCTGCTAGGACGAGCCTCCGCAGACAAGTCTGACTGATGTCGTCAACCGCGTTCCTCTCTCTCTCTCTCTCTCTCTCTCTCTCTCTCTCTCTCTCTCTCTCTCTCTCTCTCTCTCTCTCAGACACACACACACTCAACACGCACACACACGCAGACACGCACACACACAAACAGAGAAACACAATCGTACGACACGAGCGAACTAAAATCATAGCAACCCCATTTCAACCACAACATGGTCGACAACATCACTGTCATCAACAAGAATTCCAGACAGCCATAAGTAGGAAGCAGGGAGTGCCCGACGATCCCTCTCACTTAAGGCACCATCGCTCCTCGTCGCCGCTTTTTGCCTGTTTCCTCGATACGCCAGCACATATCATACACATCAATCACTATCATCACCATCATCAACATCATCAGCATCATTACCACCACTACCATCATCGACCGTCATCATCGCCGTCTACATCAAAAAATGTTTACGACCTGTGTGACGATCACATTCCGCCCTTGAAGTTGACACAAGGGGTAGGTGCTCCACTTGCAATTCGTTCCGCCAAGAACCAAGCCCTTTCCCGCCTATAGACAGCACAGAGACTCGACACGTTTAGCGCTACAGCTATGATGCCCACATAGCATTTATTGCGAGAGAAGACAGCACAAAATTGCAGTGTCGTTGACGTCACGCTACTCCCAGCTCTCTTCCACACCTCCCCCGCTTCCGCCACAGTCTCCGTATGATACCCCTTTTTATCCCCCACTGTTCCTCAGTCGGCCCCACTCCTTCAGTGTCACCTATCAACAACAGCCACACCCGTCCACGTCACTCATCAACGCCCCCGATCACCTATGCCCGGTCGTCGCCAATTGCCGTTCCCACTAGGATCATCAAACCCACTCCACCGTCCCCCCCTTTCTCCCCATTCCCCCCCCCCATTTCAAACATCCAGCTTCCATTCCCCCCCATTCCACCGTTCATCGCCACGCTTTTCGGACGCGCAATTGTCCATATCCTGCCGAGCGCTCACTCTCTCCCCATCTAGCTGCCGCTCTACCAATCTAGCCTTTCGCCCGCTTCCTCAAGATCTCGCCCTTCTCCATTCGCCCTACACATCTCCAGAAGCATCGGCGCTCTCATACGCCCTACACACGTGAAATGGACCTGCTAGCACACGAGAACAACGACGTCTGGACTGAAAGCTCCCCCACAAATTTTCCAGCCTTATCCATTGAATTTCTCGAAGAGCTTTCAATGGGCACGTGACCTGCTTAATTAGATATGAAATGGATTGGTAGTTGGTACTGCACAGCTCACCTTCAATCATATTTTTGACCGTCTGCGACTCGTATGCGACTTCTTCGTCGACCTCGAACATCTCATCGTCCGAGCTCTTGAGCTTGACTCTCGTTCCCCTCGACATGGTGGCAGACCGATCGGTCGACAACGCTTCTGTGAAGGGGGGGGGGGGACCACCCAAATCGGTGGAGACGCACGACCACCGAACGACGTAGGGAGTTCGATTAACGAACAAGAAGCACCACCACTCGTCTTCCCGCCTACCGTAGGACGAAATATTGTATTTCTCCTCTTCCACTCTCTCACGCAAGTAGCGTCCCTCCTTCCTCTTCCAGCTCTGCAATCTCATTCCTCCCTTCGCTTTCCGTTAGAAGGCCCGCCCGTATCTCGGTTTAGGGAAGGGCCACAGGTGAAGAAGAGCGGAGTGTGAAAAGTGGGTGGTGAACGGTGAAGTGAAAAACTGCGAAGGGCCGGGGGCCAGAACTTCTCCGGCGAGCACGGCACTCACTGACAGGCGGAAAGGACGGGACGGAGGAGGAATGGACCCGGAAAGTGTAACCTGGCGTCGCCCAGGGGCATAGACAAAAACAGTTCAGACAGACCTGGGACTAAGTCCCACCAGCGGAGGCCTACACTTGGTTTTGAGTACTTATTTTCAACGTGGCCACAGTGAGACCGTCAGATTCCCAGATCCGATGGCGCAGAAACGGGCGCGTTCTCGAAATCCTGGAGCAGAAGAGAATCCGCGTCGCTCACCTCACGGTGGGATGGTACCAGCTGTCCCAACAGCGGGTAGGTCCCACTTGTACGTAGATCGACGGCCAGGGACGAAGCAAGGGACGAAGCATCCTTGCAGGTGGAACATGACTCGGAGAGTGCAAGCACAAGCCTTCCCCCTGGGGCGAGCATATACCCAAACCAGCAGTAGGACTGAATTGGCACTCGTGAGGCCACCGCAGAGCTACCGGTAGGGATGCTTCTCTCCATAGTTACTGCCGGACTAACGAGAGCGGTGCGAGTATGCGGGTCATGCGGATCTCACGCAATCGCAATCAACGGTACAACTTCTCGTCAGGGATCCAACGTAATCGCAATCAACGATAAAACTTTTATTTTTCTTTTTTTATCTTCGAAAAAAAAAAACTACCATATATACGCTTTCATTTTCTTTTTCAGGCTTACCACCACAAATATGACACCTGCGCAAGGATTGCACTTGGGGGAAGAACTCTCGTGCAATGTGCCCAGCACGAAGTTTCTGCAAGGCTCCCTTCCATCCACGAAAAGTCCGTGCATTGAGTAGAAAGGACAAAAGGAAGCCAGAACGAAGGCAAGAATTGTGAGGTCCCCTGCCTCGATGGTTCATATTGATGCAATAAATCATTCAGGCTAATCCAAAAAAAAAAAAAAAAAAAAAAAAAAAAAAAAAAAAAAGAATTGTATTGCCGCACATTAGAGCCTACCTACCGGTAGTCACAGGACTCACAACTGGGAAACAAGCCGGGCGCGGGGACGCAGCAGGTAGTGCTTGAAGTAGGAGTGCTTTTCAGCACCTGGTGCTACGGTAGTAGGCCGTGGGCTAATGGACCTGGAAAGCCTGTCAGGGTAAGGCTACGTATGAATAGCAGCAGTAGTTTTGTCTTTCAGAAAATGTTGGAATACCCCTAAAAGTTGGGGTATTTCGCTATATACCCTACAGCACAGGTTTGCCCCAAACTTCTGCATCTGCCCCTGTCTCGGTCATCGGTAACTTCGCCATATGCCCTGCAGGGTCCAACGGACAGATATACCTGGGCATATAGACAAGTTGTCGAGGGCCCGGTAGGGGTATATGCAAAAGATGAACAGTCCAATTGGCGAGCGGGATATTTCGCGAAGTTCGCAGCCCTTAGGCTGTGGTACAGTGTGCTTCCGCGTCTGTGTCAAGGTGTCGCATTTTTGGCGGCGGGCGACTAGGACGCAAAGTGGGTTCTTAGGGGGCAAAAAAATTTGGGGGACCGGTCCTTGGCGAAACTGCGGACTACCTAAGGCTAGCTCTGCTAGAACCAGGACTTTTTGGAAAAAGGAAGGACCGGTCCTCGGTTGGAAGTGGACCCCAAAAGGTAGGGGGCGTTGGAACGGCCCCCGGGTAGAAGCGGACCCCAAAAAGAAGTGAGGGCATGTGAACTGCAAAATGGCCCTCAGGCCCACGCATTGAGCCCCGTCTTCTCAAAACAGGGAGGTCAGGCACAACGAAATAGGCGTTTTGCAAGAAGCAACTTTGACAATTTTTTGTGCTCGAACGAACATGCACAAAAATCTGAAATTTTGAGAATCCATAGATGAGGTCGTGTTCTTTCCAGAAATAATAATAGAACATTTTTAAAAAATCATTTACACTGCGAAATAATCGTCGCACCGATTTGGCACATTTTCCATTTTTGCCACTCAGCCATACCTGGGCCAATAAATTAAAAAAAATCATTTCAATTGCAGAATAGATCGCGGCCGCAATTTGACCCATATTTAATTTTGCCATTCAGTCTCTCTCTCTCTCTCTCTCTCTCTCTCTCTCTCTCTCTCTCTCTCTCTCTCTCTCTCTCTCTCTCTCTC